AGGAGGGAGGGAGGGAGGGAGGGAGGGAGGGAGGGAGGGAAAGGAAGGAAAGAAGATTTTCTCTAATGGAAAGAATGCCTCCAGCTCAACTCAAAGCATAGTCTAGGACCTCAGATTTCAGTTTATGATTCTCAGCTGGGATGAAAATAACCAAGTTTCAAGTAGGTCATCACCTTTTGAGGCTTCACATAAAGCAAATATTAATAGTTGGTTTTGATTTTTACTCTATTGTTGCATTGGCTCTATTATGAGGTTTCTTTTGAAATCATCACACAAAGGAAAGATTAGAGGAACATCCCCAGACCGGCAGCAACAACAGAGAAAGAATTTCCGTCTTTACATAGACTCTCCTTTATGCTCTATGCAGCTCTCCGTGGCTCCCCTCCATCAGCTCCTCATTCCCCAGCTCAGCCAATGCCACACTGTCATCCTCACTACACTATAGATGGCGACGCTGAGGCACAGAGAGGAAGGAAGGGGTTCAAACAACACAGTGCTAAGAGAATTAGAGCCCAAGCAGGCTGGCTCTAAAGAGTCACTCCCAAATCAAGCTGAACCAGGGGCCAAGTGTGGAGATGCCGCTAGCACGAAGGCAGCTTGAGCCAGTCCCCTGTTGCTCCTTATGGTGCTGGGACTGCCCACGACATCTCTGCCCAGAGGCTTAGTCAGCTCTTAGGCTGGCACCCTTAGGTGATACGCTCCGCAAGGCGTAGATCCCAGGTCTTCGGCTGGCTGGAAGATCGTCCTTGAGCCTCATCTACTCCTTGCTACTAATGATTCTTAGTATCAGGATCGCATCATGAGTCCAGGCAAAATCTAAGACTGTGTTATTTGGTACTATCATCAGCATCGTTCGAATGTTACACATTACAATAAAAGCACAGACTAGATTGATTGAGTAATTTAACCAAACTCACTCAGTTGTGGCTGGAATTAAAGCCCAAGTTGTTGAAGCAAAAAAGAAAAAAGGCACTTTTCTATCTCCTTAGGTCAACTGGAGAGAGAGAGAGAGGGAGAGAGAAAGAGAGAGAGGAGAGAGACAGACAGACAGACAGATAGAGACAAAGAGACAGAGACAGAGAGACAGAAAGAGAGAGAGAGAGAGAGAGAGAGAGAGAGAGAGAGAGAGAGAGAGAGACTGTGGTGGTCAAAATCTCTTTTCTTATCACCAGCACTTGAGTTATTAAAGTCAGGTATTCCCCCAGCCAGGCTCTTTAGGAAGTACCAAGCCATTTCAGACCCAGTTTGGGCTCACACATGTGGAAGACAGCTGTTTGTGAATACAAAAAACCATAACAGCATACGGCACGTGTGAGAGCGGAGGGTCGTCAATCAAAAAACCCAACAAGAGAGATAAAGTAGCCAAGTCCATCAGAAACAACCCAGCACCTGCCAAAATTTCCAGAAAATCCCTATGACAAAGTCTTCAAATTATTTTGCTTTCAAAATTCAACCTAAATAAAAATTCAATGTAATTTTGCACTAACTGCTTCAATTTGGGGTTACAGTTTTGAAACCATGTATTTTGAAACTCTGATTTGGTTTCCTGAGCTTCTAGGAAGCAAGCTAAAACAAATCACTCTGATCTTTCTGGGGGTGTAATGGCATTTCTATTGTATTTTAATAAATAAAGACTGTCGGAAGATCTGAGAGTAAAACAGTCCCACTGGTCAGCCATACAGACCAGGTTATGGTAACACACACCTTTAATCCCAGTAGCCACACTAGTTGCCATAGAAAACAGGTGGTGCATGCCTTTAATCCCAGCCCTAGAGAGGAATATAAGACGGGGGCAGACAGCTCTCAGATGCGGTCTTCTTTTGAGATTCCGGGAGGCAGGTTTGCCATTTCAGACTGAGGTCGAGGTAAGAGCCAGTGGCTGCCTGTTTTGCTTTTCAGATCTTCAGGCTGAACCCCAATTTCTCTCTGTGAGTTTTATTCATCGTGTTTCACTTCCTTCCACTTGGACTATGCCGTGGGCCCACTTTGTAATGGGATATTATGCAAAGCTTATTCATTTGACTTGGCAACAGTGCGGCTTAAACTACAAATGTTGTCACCCTCCTGAGCTGGCTACATGTACCCCTAACTTACTGTAAATCCACTGCAGGAGCTGGGGGTGTTTATGTCACATTGAAAACACACACATTTAAACATTTTCATTTTTTTTTTCTTTTTCTAATGAAACTGTGTGTGGCACTGTCAGCAGCCAGCCACAGATCCTATATAGCCAGGGCTGGCTGGGTCAACTGTCGTCATAGGCAGAACTCAGACTCTCCTGGATCCCTTGCTTCACCCACCCCAGGGCCACTCAGTCTCTGTTGCCTTTTGCCATTCTTCTTCCTGCTGTAGCTGGCACTCTGCTTCAACAGTCAGAAGAACCAACAGGAAGAGTGAAGTCTTCCTATCTGTAGAACTTAATACCCTATGTCCCCCAACCTTGTCTCCTGCCCCGTGAAAGCTGGTTTCACCATGACTTTTCCTATATCAACAATGAGCACATCGTCAATGACTCACACAAAATTCCTCACGCATGATCCACCTTTTTCCACATATCTGGCAGACAGTCAGCTCCTGTGGGTGAGTCATTAATTTCGCCTGTGAAGTCTATCCTACCTGCTGCTCCCCCACCTCCACTCTGGCCGTTCTCAACCCCTTCCGCAGCATCAGCTTGGACTTGGGTTTTAGTGGTAGCTTGGTGAGAGTGCTCTGGCACCTCCTCAGTCTATTCTGAATGTACAGATCCCGGAGAACCATGACGAACCCAAGTCAAATTATGCAGGCTCTCTGGTACCCTTCTAGTTCGCAAAGAGGACAATCCACTATCCTACAGTGGCCATGCGGACTCATTGATAGGATGCTACCCGTCTCCTCTCTAGCTATGTGTCTTTTGACACTTCTTACTGTTCATTAAAGGCATAAAGCAGACTCTGCTGTCCCCATGGCTCCCATTGCCTCCTCTCCCTGGATACCCCATTGCAGCTACCCAGAGCCTAACTCTCCTCCTCCAACCTAGGTCTAAGATAGACCTGGTCAACAAGGCTCAGCCTGAACTCCTAGGGCTTCCTGTTGCTGTGATAAAGCACTCACACCAAAAGCAAATTGACTCACAGGCTCCCATCCGTCATTGAGGAAAGCCACAGAAAGAGCTCAACGCCCGAACCTGAAAGCAGGAGCGGAAGCCGAAGCTGTGGAGGGGAGCTGCTTCCTGACTTGCTTTCCCTGCCTGGCTCCATTACCTTTCTCATACAGTCCAGAGCCCCCTGCCCAGGATAACAAGGGACTCTCGTGCATCAAACGACAATTAAAATATCCCACAGACCAGTCTGATGGCGGCAATTTTATAATTAAGGATCTTTCTTCCCAGGTGACCCTAGTTTGTATTAAGCTAATAAAAACAGACCAGTAGGGAGAATCTA